TAAGGTTGGAAACCTGCAGCCAGCTGAGCCTGAAACATTTCTCCCACTGAAACGTCCAGATGAACAGAATCAACCTTTTGGGACTTAAGGAGATCAGAGAAGCACTATATAAGAATTGGTCCATTTACCATACATACTGATGATGATTTGAACCAAGAATGCCTTTCCTCCCACTTCTCTTCACTAAGAATGGCTTCCTGACAGGCGCTCTTCCTCTGAGAACATTTCTGATGGGTGAACAGTGAACAGCAGATGAATCTCCTCAGTCCTGTGTGAGGTCTTTGCTGAATTTTTCACATTTTTTAAGAACATAAACGTTAGATGTTGTTCCTATTATCTAGATAGTTTTTAGCCCTCCCACGCCCCCCTTTGCCACATTTTCAGCTAACAGAAATCTGGGAATCACCCTGTTGGTGCAAAAACTCTGTGTGGGCGTCACAGTGGTGAACCGCTGCCTGTGATACGTCGCCCAGCCGACGACTGCTCTTCTGTCTTTTGGCTAAAGGCACTAAAATGTAATTAGCAGGAAGTTAGCTAGTGCGGCCAGTCTCTGCATCGTACCAGCTCGGGTGGATTTTCACTGCAGCTGTAAACAGATAATTACAACACTGAGCTTTATCCAGGTGTTTGGAGCTATGAGACACAGGGCTGTTCATGTAACAGAAACCTCCCCCACATCTGTGTTCACCTCACAGGAAAAATAAAACATTAATATCAGAGCAGCATTTTAATTTGAAAGGTTTTCTCCTCGATGACGGATGTTTAGGCGCAGTAACTGGGCCTCGGCGCTAAATGAGCTTTTAGAAGCAGCAGGTTTTCAGCCTGAAGCAGAACAACATGAAGCAAACAGCCTGCTTCAGTCTGCTAAAGCTGCCGATGAGTTATTAATCACCTTTATTTGTCTCCCTTCAGGAACCCATTAAATGATATCCAGCAGCTATAAGCCTGCCTCTGTCTGACCCCATTTAATAAAGTCCATCTCTATTCGTCTCTGTGCAGCTTTAACCTGACAGCCGCACAGGCTCTGATGAAAATGGCTTCAGGTAACGATAACAAACCTCCACTCGGACGGGATTCATGTCTGCAGGTGAATTTTAATATTACCTGCCTGTTTGCTGATCTCAAGAGTTATTCTCAGCTCCTCCCCAGCTGTAAGGATTACACCTGAGAGTACTTCCTGTTTTTCAGTGCACTGGCTCCTCCTCCTGTTTCTCATTAATAGCAGATTGTGTTATCAGTGTTTGGGCATCGTAGCAGTTTTTCTTGATCAATCTGAGAACAGTGCGATCGCTTTTATTTTGAAAGTCTTGCTGGAGGATCGCAGCTCAGTTCTAACAAGTAAAGACACAAACAGCCTGCCTGCTGCCCCTCGGTAAGCTTCCAGAATTCGCCCACTAAGAAGAAAGCAGGGTTTTAGTGAGGGAGGTCTTAAACGTGGCTGTGATTTATGCAGTCAGTGAAATCCCCGTGTGCGTGGAGTAGATCAGATTTAAAGTCAACGTTTCCATTTAACGTTTCTGCTAAGCTTTTTAAAAGTGTTTTGCCATAATTTGACCCTCGGCGCCTCGTCTGTATTAGCTGGCTCTTTTTTCTTACTTTGAAATCTTTTTTTTTATAAATTCCTGCATTTTCTAAACTGCAGTTTGCTGAACTTTAATTTGAATCAGAAGAGGTAACAGAAATGTGGAGGTAAGTCATAGTGGCTGTGAGTGCACGTCATGCTTTTAATGTGAAACAGTCAGAAAGAAAACAATGTTTTGTTGTAAAAGTAAACCGGTTCTCCTCCCGGCTGAACCAGCCGGAGGCCAGCGGGCAGCAGGAGCTGATTAAACCGCCAGCTGTGAAATTAGTGGGTAGCCCGCTGTACCACCTGAGCCGGCTCCCTCCTCCTGTCTTAACTTTACCATCAACATGTCCAACAGTAATTTCCAACGGCGCAGTTGTAATATTTGCTTACGTGTGATTGACACCTTAAGGAAACATCTCGCTGATTAAAAAGGCTCTGGTTTGTAATTCTGTGTCATCCATGTAACTCACTCCTCCACCGTCCCACCGCTGCAGGCGCCTCTCCAAAAACTGTGTGTGAAGTGTGACGGCTGTGGGAGGTTTAGCAGAGACGGAACAACCGCACGCAAGATTGCTGGACTGGAGGGAGGAAATATTCAGGGGGAAACTTATTTAAAGTTGTTCACTTATCAGAAAACACTTGGGATTATAATGTCATAAATTAGCAGAAATTGTATCTATTCTTTGCTTTGTATCTCGTTCCAGCTCCAACATTCAAATGGAGATACCCGGATCTCGTCTCCTCACAGTTATCATCTCTCCAGCAGGGCCCGGGTCTCCTCTCAGGAGCTGCTGAACATGCCTGAAACATCTCCTTCCTCCTGGAAACACCTCACTCAGACCCTGAAGCACGTGAAGAGCAGCAGCTCTACTCTGAGATCCTCGTGAAATTAAAGAAATTAGAACCACAAACTGTAAACTTTGGAATTACACCGTATTACAAAAAGGTTTCTATTAAAACACATTTATATTTTCTGCAGGGAGTAAGCTGGAACTGGAAGCACAGGCTGCCCTCTGATCACAGGAGCCCTCCCCCAGTCTGCAGCAATCTAAAATTCATCATTTCCTTGGATCCATTTCCCCTCGGGACATCCCGCTGTCCTGCTGCTGATCATTTCACTGGAGGTGGCTGACCTCCTCAAACCTCATCTCTGTGCTGCTGACAGGGGTCCAGCCTCTGGCCCCCGTGACTGATTGAAGGAAATTTGGGTCAAAAATGGTGGATAGTGAATAGAGGGCAGGAAGAGCGATGATGGATGTGTTCCTCTGGAGTCACTCGGCTCTGTCAGGTAAAAACCTCCCGTCTCTGGGACAAACGGAGCCGTAGTTTCAGGTTACAAGCAACAGAAAAGATGCAGGAGACTCGGTGAAGCAGTCGATGCAAAGTTAGTTTGGAAATGTGCAAAAATTCCAGCAGTCAGTAAAACTCGAATAAACAAAGAATGAAAAGTTTTGTTTCCCTGCTGACTGAAGTTTGACCTGCTGCTGCAGCCAATCAGACGTCTGCATTTAGACTGGAGCCACAACATCCATCGACTGACACAAGAGACAGCAGACTGTGTGCACTTGCAACCTGTGAGGACATGACGAGTGTGCACAGGGTCGCAGCACAGGGACGAACTCAGCAGTGGAAGTAAAAGCAGCTCTGACTGCAGCCACATGGAGACATTTATAAAAAGAGGTTTTTGTCCTTTCATCAGCTGTCAGAAGATCAAAGTCTGGCTTTATGATGAAACATCTCCCAGGACTCTTTGCTCCATGTGTAGTCTCGACGTCGGGTCCAGACAAACGACGAGAAGGAAAAATCACTCAGTGATAACTGTCTGTTTTCCTGTCTGTGTGGGCTGTATCCCAGGATCCGTCCTCGGAGCCGGAGCTTCCATCATCTCGCCTGCGCCTCATTCAATCAGCAGGACGGTTTATAAACCAGCACTTCCTTCCAGTCCTCCCCAGTTTGTCCTGCTGCCTTTGGCGTTCCACCGGATTCACCTCCTGCTGTGTTCACTCTTTGGCGCTGCTTCAGTTTGCTTTCTCCTCTACAGTCTGCCCAATGATCAGCTCGATTACCTGCCTGCCCTCCTGCCTGTCATATCATGCCCTCAGGGGAACAGGACCTCCACATCTCAACGTGTTATCTCCCCACATACGACACTCTCATGGACGCCTCCCTCAGATCAAGACTGTCTAAACCTGCCAAGTTTCCGTTCTGTCGCTCTCTTTGTGCCTCCCCGTGATTAATCAGTTCCTGGCCTCGATCTCCCACGGTCCCCTGCCCTGTGTCGCTTCTACTCGTGTAAATTCTTGTGTTAACCTTGAATCTAATTTCTGTGAATAAATTCTTGTAAATAGTTCATCGTGTGTTTGAGCAGTGGCTGCTACCTCCGTGCAGAGGCTGATAATCGGCGTCTGTCTTGTGTCAGTGACGGATTTAATGCGACATGACCATCAAACAGCAGCCGCTTTCTGAAACATCGGATATGTATCAGATTCAGCACCACATACCAAAGTGACCCAGGTTGGATTTGAAAATATCGGATTTGTGCCGTTCACCCTGTCATAGCACGATCGGATAGATCAGAGGGCCCGGTGGCGCCAGTGTCCGGCAGCCTCGCCTCTGTCAGTGCGCCCCAGGGCAGCTGTGGCTACAATGTAGCTGCCATCACCAGTGTGTGAATGTGTGTGTGGATGGGTGGATGACAGGATGTGTAAAGCACTTTGGGGTCCTTAGGGACTAGTACAGCGCTATATAAATACAGGCCATTTAGATGTGTCGCAGAGGGTCAGAAAAGTCGGATTTGCAGTGTGAACGTAGCCTTCTCCATCTATCTGTCCATCCTGCCTTAAGGGAATTGTTGCTGTTCAGCACTGATGTGTCAGTTTCCGTCTCGCAGTGTGATGTGTGATCATAGTTGGATGAAATCCTACAATGCTCCTTGACTTCCTCGGAGGTTCAATTTTTTCTTTGTCTATATGAAAGTGCAGGTGAGCCAAAAATCATCAGCTCCTTTTGTGACGGTCAGAGGCCTGAAGAGAATCCAGCTCGCTCAACACTAATTAGCATCAATTTGCCTCATTTTATAGACTTTACATATAACTGTTAAAACTTCAAAGGACAGATTGTTACTTTGTTTGTGGTCAGGGTCATGACCTTTGGTTTGCTTGCAGAGTGGATGAACAGCAGAGCGTCTAATGACTTTGATGTTTCTCCAAATCGAGTTCAGTTTCAGCAAAATGTGCAAAAACTGTTGGTTTTAACACCGTTTAACTGTCAGTGAAAGGTCTCTGGAAATGATGTTCGCAGGTTTCTGTGTTCTGCTTGTTCCTGAGTGGGTTCCTCCCACAGCCCAGTGGCTGTGAGGAATAAGGAGCTGTGGGAATGTGTGTGTGGTGGACTGTGATCTTTAGTCAAAGTGTGCGTGCGTGTGTGTGAGTACCTGCAGTTTGCGTTCATGGTCTCCGCTGCAGAGCGAGTTGAGGGAAACTTTGAAGGTTTTCCACACAGGATTGAGATTATTCATGACGGTCTGAGAGAGACAAACACAGAGCAAGGTCAGGTCTAAAAACAGCTCGCGCTGCGTCTCAGCGGAGCGCTGCGTCCTGCTGCATCCTGCTGCAGTCCTAAACGGTGTAAACCTGCAGCAGCTCTGAGGAGAACCGCTGGCTGAAAGGAGTCATCCTCGCTTTTCCAGCCTGGTGTGTTTCCTGGAAGTGTGTGTTGTGTTAATTAAAATGATGCTTTAACACATTTTTCTTCCATCTTTGGCTCATTTAAGTCTGCCTGGATTTCATTTACTCACAGGTGTAAGAGAAACGCTCTCCTCGTGTTTCCATGCCACTAAGAGTGATAAGGTCAGAGACTTCCTTAAATGTGCAAACCGACAGCTGACTGCAAGAAAGAAACTTTTTGGTACTGAGGGCTTGCTCCAAACTGATTGGTGGAAACACTCCCTGCCCAGCAGCTAGCCAATCAGCAGCTTTTATGGGGCCACTGGTTATGTCGAACCCTGCTCTCCAGCTTTATAATAACCACGCATGGTGAAGCAGCTGGGAGCTGGAAGCAGCTGCCAACTTGTTGCATGACCTTCTACGATCATGTGATGGAAGCACAGCCTCCATCCAGGGAAACTTGTTGCCTGACAGCGGCCTGCTTTTTTCACACTGAGCCGCAGGCAAGGAGCTAAATTGGAGACGGGAGGAAGTAATCAGAAAGGATGTCCCTGCTGTCAGCTGGGGAGGACTGTTGCTCTGTGGGACCTGTTGAAAAATCTCAATGTGCTGACGGATGAGAGGAATCCCAGCTGTGCAGCTACAGCTAACGACTCGGCAGCTTACATATATATAAACAAAACTGCATTGACTGAGAGCTTTAATGCTCTCAGAAGCAAGTTTCTCTCTTTCGAGTATATGTTGTCTTTTCCAACTCTCCGTCCGCCTGAATCCCACCGAGGGAGGTGGAGAGTGCAAAGCTTGCATGACCCAAAGAGACACAGCAGACACACAGAAGGCTGAAAATCAGATCAACACAATGAGTCAGCCAAGAAATACCTCTGGGGGAACATTCACCTACCAGGTCACCAAAGTCCATCTAAGCAAAGTCGTAGAAACAAGTTAAAGTTGAACTCACTGTTCACATGAAGAACCATGAACCAGATTACAAAACATGACTTTTATGACACCAAAACTAACCACGAAGCATTATTATTATTAATAATAGTAAACAAGTGGACTGCTGTATTCCACTGTTTTTGATAGGATGATGTGTTGAATCCAGTTTGAATAATTCAGCCTTTAATGTTAACGGTGGTGTTTGTGTGAGTGGAGGACGCGAGTGTGTCGATGTGTGTTTGTACCTCCGTTCTGTAGACGAGCTGCAGCGTGGCGTCATCGTTCAGTCTGTGGATCTCCAGGAACGGATCCGATTTACTGAAGAAGTCCTAAAAGTACAAACGCAGAGTTCACTGCAAACACCAGAGACACAGTCGGGACATCCAGTCTGATCATGTTCATACTGGCTTTACATGCAGCGCCCCCTGGTGTTTGTCCACAGTCTGTTTCCAAACCAGCACAGACTGGATATAAAAGATGGACGTAGCCACCAGATGGTTTGTGGACATTTTGGATCCTTGAGTTTAGAGTTGTTGCTGTCACATGTTGGTTTATTGGAGCTAAAATGAGCACGAGGCTAACAATATCAGCTAACCATAGCTAGCTTAGTCAGCAAGCTGAATCCACGGTCATGGATCGGAAAGCTAAAGCTGCACATTATCTGTGTAATGTGATTACATTAACATGCTCCAGGGCACAACAACATTCAGACGTCTCAGTGTCGGGACCCATCTGTCAGGCAAAGAGGCCACGCCCACAATAATAAACAGGTAAGTTATAAAAACCTGGTTTGGTTTCAGTGAAGTTTTAATAAGTTTTTGTGATATTAGACGCTTTTGGTTCCTGTTTTCACTTCTTAGTTGTTGTTCTAGTGATGAGGTTCAGTTTTACCAATATCATTCTGATCAGTAGTGTTAGTGATAGATTGTGTTGTGATTTTCTGGTTATTCTGGTGTTTCTGTGTTTTCTGCCTCTGTCGTTGTGTTTGGTGTGCAGCTGTCTCTGCTTTACTTTGATAGTTGGCTGATGTCCTGTTTTGGATTGGACTTCCTGTATGTAATTATATTGATTATTTTCCCCTGTTCAAAAAAAAAGAAATCACATTATGAATGTTTAAAGGTTTAAATAATCGTAATAATTAAAACTCCTTTGTCTGTTTTCCTCTGCGGAGTTTCGGTCTTCTGGATTTTTACTGACGTCTCCAGACTTGGATCAGTTTTTAAATGCGTCTTGTTTCTTTTCTTTGTTTTTAGTTTGCTTTAACATGAAACGTTTTAAAATCTGCTGACAGAGGTGATTGTGTTGCGTTATGAACGTAACCACTGAGTAATGCTTTCATTCAGTAAGTACAGAAAGCGTCAGTGACTCTCAGGCTTGTGATGTTTACCCTGTCGCTGTGATCATTACTTCACTGATGCTGTGGTTACACTCTGTGGCGTGGGTTTCAGAGCCCGCCATGCCTGAGACTCCTGCAGTGACTGATGACTCCCACTCATGTTCACAGTGGCTGTTTGAATGTTAGCCCTGTGAGCTCTGAGTACTGTAACCCCACACAATGCTATCAGGATGTGTCATTTCTCATTAATGCAAAACACTGATACATGCATCAAAAACTATTTATGTTTTTTACTTTTCATCATTTAACCTAAACTAAAAAGGTCTTCCTGTGACCGTGTGGTGTATGGGGCAGACGCACTATAACTACTTAGAGTACACTTAGCTTTCCAAAGTTCTGTTTGTTGTTGTATTTATATTATGTACTTTGAAACGCTGCAGCTTAGCTGGTGCAGATGTTCTGCAAACTGCTGAAAAAGAAGCCAATACCTGCAGTTCCTCTAACGTCCACCAGAGGCTCCAGCAGTGAGTCCGTCCCCATACTCCCCCATGTTTAAAAATTGCAGCAGAAGTAAACTTTATGGAGACTTTCCCCATTTATAACAGTTCGCAGAGAGTGGTGAGGTCCTCCAACTTGATAATTCAGTCACTTTAATAGGAAGGTTTCCGCAGGTGGAGCCTCATCCAATCCTAGGATTACTTAAACTGGACATAATGTGTCCTGCAGGAGGCTTTTAATGTATTTATCTTACAAACATTATAATTCTTAAATCCTAAAATTTTGTATTTTGGAGTTGAATCTTATTCAGTGGTTTTATTTTTTTGTTATTTTGCACTAATTAGCGAAGCATCTGTGCGTTGCATCAATAAATAAATAAGCAGCTTGCTAATCAAGCTAACTAGCATTAGACGATAAATTCGCATGTCACTGAGGTAACGTCTGACATAAAAAAACAAACTAAACAGAGCCGCAGCCCAAACACTGCCCATGCCCTTCTTACCTTATTATAGAATTTAATTAAAATTCTATTTACAAAAAAAATCAACCAAACAAACAAACAAAAGAATTGAAAAGTGATATTTATTAAATTGTTGGACAAAATAAAGAGAAAGACATTCAGGAGGTAAGTGGGGGGTCCTGGTCCAGGTGCAGTTTTTACCTTATCATCCAGCTTCCTGGCGCTGAAGGAGAGCTCGATGTAGTCGTCGTTGCCCGTCAGCTCCTCTGCTGTGATCTGAAAGCACATTTTCCCTTTGATAAGAGCCTCATTATGAAGCCAGGGTGCAGCCATCAACTCAACAACAAACTCTGAATATTCAGATCAGACTCTGTGAGATCAAACGAGCCACCCTGCTCTGGGAGCTCCTCCAAAACAATGAGCAACTTTTAGCATCAAAGTCGAGGAAATGTAAAGCAAAAGGCTGAAAGTGCTCAGTCAGGCTAACGGGGAAAGTGCGCGCGCTGCTGCAGATGAAAACGCAGCACGTGGCGAATCAGAAAAACAACGTTCTGGAGTCTAATGCTTGCAGACACACAGGGAAACCTTTACAGGTTAAAGCTGCGACTTCCAGCATTTCCTGATGCGGGCAGCGTTGTCACTGTCCCGCTGCATAAACCCAGACGAAGTTATAAAAAAGTGTGGCTATACGGCCTGTTGTCATGGTAACGTGATGCTGCCACACCTGGGCGGCAGGTTTAGTGCAGAACAGCAGAAGGTTTCCGATGACAGCCGCTCTGCAGACGCAGCTTCTGCTTCTAAGAAGTGAAGCTAAGTGTACACATGCATTACTGCTAGTGACCAGCAGGGGGCGACTCCAATGACTGCAGCAACGTGTGACTGTATAACAGGCGTAGTAAGCCGTTTTCTCAGGAGTTTCAGTCATTAGTTTCAAATCCTCTTTATGCATAAAGCACCAACAGAGTTTCAGGGTCCGACTTTCTTTTCTTACACAATAATTTCATAGTTTGTGCACCGGAGTGACTCCAGCTCCTCGTTTAGCATACAGCTGATCAGAGGGTGGAGCCATGTGATGTCAGGCTCTCGGGGCTTTGTATTTTTGAATCCTGGTTTCATTGTTGTTTGACTGATGTGGAGTTGTTGAGTTTTGGCTTCCATTTTCAGACCTCTCACCCGTCTGTCCATGCCTGCCTGTGTGCTACTTCCTGAGGAGTAAACTATGAAGTTTCACAGCTTTCTTTGTGTGAGCTGCTCTGAAACATCCAGTCAGTGATGATGCTGTCTCTGCTTCAGTCACATAAAAAGGCAGTTTGGCACTCATTCCTCTTCCTCTACAGAAAACGGATCATCTGAGCATCGACTGCTTCATCAGACGCTCTCAGGGGAACGGCTGAGATGAGCATAAAGTCTAATCTGGTGGAAGCCGGCACTCGTGCTGCACACAGTCCAGTTCACTGTTATTTATTTAGCAGCAGATCATACCAGCTGTCACCTCGAGGTGCTTTGCACTGTAAGGTGAAGAGAACATAACGTGCTCCAGACCAGGACATGTGTTCAGCATACGTTGCCATGGTGATTTAAAGAGCCGCACGTCCCTGACACTCCATTGCTCTCCAACACAGGTTGAAGGTTACGTTGTCTTTCCTGTTTTCCCATCCTTACCGACCACCTGCTCCACCTCTGCTGTCTTCACCTGTCTGAGCTGCTGCTGGTTTCTCTGCTCTGCTGGGTTTTGTGGATTTGTTCAGTTTTGAATGAGCCAATAAACAGCTCGCCTTCATTTTTACTTGGGCTCATTTCCTGTACTCCACACCAACACTGACATCATGTTCTGGACTGGTTAGTGAAACAGGAAGTGCATATTTTGCATGTCAGGACATAAGACGTCCTTACATGTCTTAGGGCAATAAAAAATAACCAACACATGACACATTGTAACATTTTTTAACAAAAGTTAAGTCAAAATGCAGAAACACTGTGAAAAACTAAGCACAGGCTCCCTGCAGCCAGGCAGAGGGACTTAACTTAAGTGTTCCTCTGTCAGTGTGAGCTCCTCTGTAAATGTTTGTTGGTCTGAATCATTCGGATGTGTTAACAGTTCCAAGGAGGACAGACTTTAGCGATGATCTCAGAGAAGCAGATGTTGATGCCCGTCCATGTGGGAACGCTTAGAAAGCCAAGTATTTGAAGTTAACGTGCCAGACGTCTGAGGAGTGGACATCACAGCAAATTCACCCCGAGGTCAAAACACACAATGCTCAAAACAAACAGACGTTTTTGCATCTTAGTGGGGACATCGGACATCTACATACTGCTTTCCTTAGTCTGTGTCTCTCTGCTACTTTTAGCAGTTTGTGGAAAATTCTGACGCGAGTGTTGAGCTTCTGCCAGGATAAACAGACGTGAGGAGAGCAGTTTGTCTGAAAGCATCACTACAGTTCCTGAGCAGCTGCACCTCAGCAGCTTCTAGCTGGATAAAGCACGGCGCAGCCCGAGCACAGCCAGCAATGCAGCGTGCAGCGTAAGTCAAATCCAGCTGTAAACATGAAAAAGGCCCAACAACATAATCCCTGCAAAATTCATTAAGACGACATATTACGAGGCAGATAAACAAACAGCTGAGCAAATTGAACCCACAGACTGAAAGCATCACAGCTCATTTCCTGGGCAGGGTGAAATATGTTGTTTGACTAATGAGGAAGAGACGCATTTATAGACCAACATCAGGCTAACAAGGCCTCCAATCAACTGAATAACTCACCAGTCCTGATAAAACCAGAGATCTCAAACCTGATGAACGTTTATCATAAACGTCGGTTTCCTGCTGAATTGCTGACATGTTTACATGGTGACGGATGGCATTCAGACAACAGCTGATCACAGATCACACGTGGAGAGATGTCACATCGCTACACACATGCAAACAACACAAACACACCGTTTATCTTCATGAAAACACAGAGTTCATCTGCAGACGGAAAGAAGAGGAAACAGGGGAAGAGGATAGGAGGGGGAAAAGGAGACAGGACAGAAGGGGACAGGATCAAAAGGAGGGAGGGGCGAAGGAAACGCAACAAAAGCTTTAATTTTCTGTAACTGCAGCTTCTTCCTGCACTGAAATCCCTTTGAAATAAATCCCCATGAAGCATTTCATGTGTGCACAGAGGTGAAGAGGAACATCAGAGGGGGATTTTCCAGCTGTGAATTTGGGGATAAATAAAGGAGCAAATCTGTGTGAGGAGCAGACGCCGGCCGTCCTCGGTCCAGCTGAGAGGATCCCTGCTATCAGAGCTGCGACCAGAACACCAATGAAAATCCCCGTCTGATGGAGGCTTTAATGTCTGGCAGTCACCAAGTGTAAACGGCACAGAAACAAACTTTAAATTCACAGAGAGGAAAGAGCTGACAGAGAAAAACCCCGTGAGAGGAGGAGGAGACGTATGGGCTCAAAATGTGGTCATAAATATTTTGTACTTGTAAATCAGTTTCGTATGTGTGAAAAGAATTTGTGTGTGGACTTAGCCCAAAAAACCAACCTGCAAGTTACAAGTACGAATTTTGACCCTATTTTTCTTCCTTTCATCTGATTGGTCAATGTCATGTCAATCACAAATGTAACGATCTGCTGGGCTCTGGGTTTTTGCAGCAGCTCTACCTGCACTAGATGCACCTGTAGTTTCTATCTCTGACTTTGTCCTCTACAAGAGCTTGTTTTTTTTGCTGGTTCTTCAAATGTTCAATAAAAACATCTATGCTAATTCATAACGAAGAAAGCTTTGTAATGAAGGCTACGTCCACACGTACCCGGGTATTTTTGAAAACGCAGATTTTTCTATGCGTTTGCACCTTCCGTCCACACGTAAACGGCGTTTTTTAAAAACTCCGGCCAGGGTGGAGATTTTTGAAAACGCAGTTTTTGCGTTTACGTGTGGACGAGAAAAACGGAAAAAAACGCAGCGTCAAAGGTGTGCGCCTTTTGTGACGTCCCACTGTGCGCCACGTTATTGTTTCGGTGAAATGAATTTCTACAATACTGTTAATTCTACTCTCTGCAGTGTTTAAATGCTTACATATACACACAGTTACTGTCCCTCCACACATACGACTCGGTTCTGCTTCTATGCCCCAGCTTTGTTTACTATTTCCCACCGAGGCTTCTAGACTTCTGATTGGCCAACATTTCTACACGGTTAGGAATATAGCGCCACCTGCTGCTTTGGCATGTTCATAGCAGCGTTTTCCTTCATTTCTGCCTTTATGTGTGGACGGGATTATTTTTTAAAACGAAAACGGAAAATCTCCGTTTTCAAAAATACCCGTGTACGAGTGGACGTAGCCGAAGACTGTCATTTCCAAAACACTGTATTAGTATTAAACACGTAGTCCTGTGACATAAAAATCACCAAACTCGGACGACCACAGACTGTTTTCCTTCGTGGTGATGAAGGAAAACGCTGGGCTGGCATGTAAAAGGGCATTTATTCCCTTCAAAGACCTGCAGTTCAAAAAAGCGCCCACCGACAGCCAAACCCATCTGTTCTCTGATTGGATTGTTACATTTGTGATTGACATGACATTGACCAATCAGATGAAAGGAAGAAAAATAGGGTCAAAATTCATACTTGTAACTTGCAGGGTTTTTGGCTAAGTCCACACACAAATCTTTTTTACACAGACAAAACCAATTTACAAGTACAAAATATTTATGACCACATTTTGAGCCCATAGAGACGCTACAGAAGCAACAGGGAGGAGGAGAGGGCGGGGCTCACCGTGATGATGGCTTTCCCCACCGTGCCTCCAGGTCTGAGCAGAGCTTTGGACAGCTTCCTCTGGGAGATGATCTGTGCACACACACACACACACACACACACACACACACACACACACACACACACACACACACACAGTGTTAATACACACAGCTACTTCTGTACATACATGGTTGGTTTTCAGCAGGAAGCTGTCTGACAAAGAAAATTGTGACATTTCTTGTAAATTAAGACATTTTTGTGGAGTGGACCACCCATAACTTTGTTGTACATATACAATGACAATAAAGGGCTATTCTATTCCATTCTATTCTATTGTAAATCTGCTGTGGATCATCTGCCACCAGGCTGCTTAGCAGATTAAAGGTCCCACATCTCCCCACTTTAAACGCTACAGGCAGCACGCCCTCCATCAGCACTCAGGACTCTTAAATCCTCGCCCGTCCCTGCAGAGTCACACTTCTTCAGGCTCGCCGTGGTTCCTCCCGCTCGGGTCAAACAGTTTGTTTGTACCGTCACCTGTTGAAGCTCGGGTGGTGACCGAGCTGCTGAGGCTCTGTCACGGACCCGGTTCCGGGGACTCGGGGTCCGTGAGCAGTGTGGACTATAATTATTATCAGTAGCATTATTATTATTTTGTGATGTGTGTGTCTTCTGCACAATGCTGTCATGTCTGTGTTCCACTTATTGCATGTGTAGGCAGGGTGTGTGTGTGTATTTGTGTGTGTCTGCGGGTGTGGCTGTTGGATGGATGACACCTGAAGTCCCTGCCACACACCTGCTGCTGATCAGGGCTCGTCGGGGAGCTTAGGAGAGCGTTGGCGCTCCCACTGACGCGGGATCATTGCGTTACATCCCACGTTAGCGTGTGTCAGTGTACGGTAGTGCAGCTCGTGTATGCCCGTGGAGTCAGTGTTGACGGCTGCTTCTGCTGTTTTCCTGCAGGTGGAACCAGAAGGACGGCACGCACAGGGTGTGCAGGAACACGACAGCAGGGAGCACGAGCACTGACGTCGGAGGGGAGCACACGCGGGAGTCTAGGGAGCAACGGGGATTTAGTGTGCATCTGTTATTTACCTCACTGTAAAACACACTGTCTTCACTAAAGAGTCCAGCTTCCGGGTCCTTCTTCCCCACATCCCCACATGACATGCTCAGCTGAGGTCTGCTGGTTCTCCGGAGCCTTTAAAACAGGGTCACCAATCCCAGTCCACGAGGGCCGGTGTCCTGCAGGTTTTAGATGTGTGCTGGATCCACCACCGCTGATTTAATGGCTAAATTACCTTCTCAAGATGTTAAGTTCTCCAGAGGTCTGGTAATGAACTAATCGTTTGCTTCAGGTGTGTTGGCCCAGGGTCAGATCTAAGACCTGCAGGGACACTGGCCGTCGTGGACTTTTTTCAATTCTTTTTGAATTTTGTCTTTTGTGTGTCTCACCTGCTCGTTTTTAAAGCTTTGTTCAAGCCTACTCTTCGTGCTGGATCTGATTTTCTTGCAGCTTTTAGGCAATGATCAGTTTTCCTTTTTTCAGGATTTTCCGGGACATGCCAAGCTGTTAACATATTCTTTAATGTGTTTAAATACTGCTCCTGAACCATGTTCCCACTTCAGTTCCAGCATGAAAACCTCTCCTGCTGTTAAAAATCAAACCTGTGCTATCAGCAGGATAAAAAAGAAGCTGTTTTACTTCATTACGGAGTGAAATCTCGCCCCTCTGCCGCCTCGTGTGCCAGAACTGCTTCTTCCAGGCCCGTTAAAAACCTGCGGTGCTCCGTCAGCCATCTGGCTGCTGAACGAGCTGGCAGAACTGACGCTGCTGGCAGAAACAAAGACGATGGTGAGGAGGAGGCTTTTCCCGACTTTCCGCAGTCATCCGAGCTGATTGTTTCATCACCCACTTGGCTCCTTCTCCTCATCATCTTCTTCAGATAAGTGTGTTAAAACTCTTCCAACACATTTTTACTTCCCTGCAGGAAACTGAAAACAGTCGGAAGGAAATCCACAATGAGGCTCAGCTGACAGACTTCCCGACTTCAGTTTTTAATGAGACCAACAGCAGGTGGAAAATCTGTCTGTTCATCGGATTCTTTAGCTCTTAACAAAACACCAAACAACACGTAGATTCCCTTGGACTGCATTATGTGTGGATTTATCTTTTCATTATAGCGCAGACTGAATTTAGGTGATTTTAATAAGAGATGCTGTGTCTGGAGCCCAACTCCAACGTTTTTCTCGAGCTGAAAACTTTGTTTCAGCACAAACTTTGGTAATGACAGCAGATGGCTGCCTGTTGCCACTCTGCTATCTGACTGGCATTTACTCACAGTTGGCAGAACTTCACTTAGAAACAAAGCGAAGCTGCAGTCTCTGTGAGCATTTAGTCAGGCTGAAAACGTCTGCGATCAGGTCGGCGAGCTAATTTCTGTGTTTTCCTTGAGCCACATTTAAAACAGACGTTTCAATGAAACGTGAAATTATTCCTGTTGATTTGATTCGTTTCGTGACACCTGAGCTCACTCCCACAAGCCGTCCCTCAGCAGTCTCAAACAGTAGCTCGTGCCAGGTTAGACTAATCACAAAGTTCAACAGCTCAGACGCCGACACAGACTCCACAGAGTCGAGCAAACAGAAATGACGGCAGGATTTTGTGAGCTGCAAAGTGAACAAGCGAGCTAAGTCCACCACCTGTCAATAATCCTCCAATAACACCAGAAAAAGTTGCCAGATCTGTTGCTAGTCGCTTTTTACAAAAAATGTCGCTCAAAGGGTCTGAAAACTCGTTAAATATAGCAACAAAGTTGCTAAGTCGGCAACACTGGAAGACACTCTGAACCACAGACAAATGAGTGGAAGCATTCTGCTTCAAGGCCACCAGGGGGCGAAACCTGTGGTTGAACAAAGACTCCCCAGTCTATGGAAGACAACGGGAAAACGTTCTTGCCTAGACCAGTGTTTCCCACCCTTTTGGAGCCACGGCACATATTTCCCATTAGAAAAATCGCACGGCACACCACCAAACAAAAATGTCACAAAAAGCATATTGATACTTTTCCCAGCGAAACAGGTGTAGTGGAAAGCGCTCGGTTTGTCCCCAGTGTACCTTTTTTGCTTTCTTCTGACCATTACTCATGCTAGAGCCTTCAGGGTCGGCGTTTCACCTAATCAGGTGGAACCAGACAATCTTCCACGGCACACTGGATCATTTCAGTGGTTGGGAAACACTGGTCTAGACCAGATCAGTCAACACCTTCCTGATGAGTTTCGGGGCTCAGTCACTCATTTCAGGTGAATTATCCTGCATATGTAACCTGCTTCCTCACAGCCGCTCACCACATAAGATTTCAGCTCACAAGTGGGTGACGCTCCACTGACTTCATCCATCTATGGCTTGAACATAGACGTCCGTCTGTTGACGATCCTCATTCCAGGTACTAGATCCTTGTTTGGGTAAAAATACGTTCCTTCAACCTTCAGGCAACAACCAGTGAAATAACTGCTGGCAATGTAAATCTCCAGGTTCTCAACTTGGATGCAAACAACTGAAGTGACAGCCAATTAGAGGGAAGGATACTGCTGTGATTGACACATGAGGGTTACCTAGGCCAGCGGTCCCCAACCTTTTTTGTTCATGCCCGACAATATTTTCACGGACCGGCCTTTAAGGTGTCGCGGATAAATACAACAAAATAAAACTGGTACCAAAAAATAGAAGATTTATTCATAACACACATGAAAAGACCCAGGAAAACCGAGTTAACGATAAAGACGATAACAAAATAACGCTGGAAACCGATAAAAACCCTGAAAACCAGACATTTCACACCTGAGCCTCAACTCTCGCGGCCTGGTACCAAACGACTCACGGACCGGTACCAGGCCGGGGCCCGGGGGTTGGGGACCGCTGATCTAGGCAACCAGAGCCTGGAATTTCCTCTAGCAACCGATGTACAGAGGGAATGTTGTATATCTGGAATGGGCTTAACTCTGAACACTGACAGATGATGCTTACCCATCAGGCACTGGGCTTTTACAGGCATCCATGTGACGAGCTGTTACACATTCAGTGTTTTGTCTTTTTCTTTGAGCTATTTTTTCTTTTTCCATCCATCTATCAGTGAAGATTATTGGCACCAAACCCCCAAATGTGCACTTAAAAAAAACTGCTGTAATATTGAGCTTTTTTACATGGGAGACACTTTTGGTGCCTCTAGTGGACACAAGAGGAACTGCAGATTAAGTTCAAACATGAAATTAGAAGTTCAGATTTTCAGGTGTAGTTTGTAGTGAAAACGTTCTGAAAAAAACAGGATTATGATTCTCAGCCTCGTCAGCTGCTGCTCGGTTAGCAAACACACACGTGTGTCATGTGGAGAGGCTGAAAACTCATTTTGTGTCTCAGGCAGACAAATGATGATTTTTATCAAGTCAGATTTTTATAAATGTTGTGAGAGCGTGCATGAACCGGTCATTCTTCAGTGAGCGACACACACACACAAATGTGTTTTATTCCCACTTTATTGTGTCTGCTGCACGCAGGCTGTAATTGAGTCTCTGAAAAGCTGCTGGCTGACAAAAACACGGCAAACAATTAGCTTTTCATCGAGAAAAGAAAAGAAGCCCGAAGAGAAGCTCAGGCTTCTGTTTACCGATGTTTTTCTGAAGTGCTGATCTATTAGCAGAAGCTTTGGAAGTCTGTCGGCGTTACAAACTTCACTGGGAACAAAAAGAGCCGTTCAGACCTTCAGCTGAAGTGAGGCTGATGACTGACAGCTTCCTAATGTTTACCTGTGAAAGCACACACACACACGGCAGGCGTCTTCTGGCAGATCTCAGTCTCGCTCTTCAGTTTCGTGACACTCAGGCTCATTTATTCCTGTTTACTTGTTTTCATTGGCTCTCAGGTATTTGTCAGGTGTGTGGAAAAATAGAAACTTCAGTTTTCATTCAACTGTTTCAGAGAAGTTTCTTAAATGGAAGTAAGATCGTCTGACTGGAGGCTTGAAGTTAAATAAAGACCATAAATAATAAAGAAGGAACTGTGACTCACCTGTCCCAGCGTGCACTCCACCGATCCCAGGAAGATCGCCTCCTTCAGGCCGTTGTGGCTGCTGTTGATGTCGTACAGCTCGAAGCGAAGACGCTGCACCTCTTCAAAATAAAAGTCCAGCGTGAAAACCTTTGAGTAGGTAGGGTTGACGCAGCTGCGGATCACCTCCGTCCGATCCACCTGCAGGACACCAAAGGACGAAATAACGTGAGTTATTGCTCGATGGCTTGCACCTGCACGTCAACTGTAAATACTACATGAACATGAGCGGTATGAAAGCTAATCCAAGGTGCGACTTTTCATTCTTTCATTCCTGTCGTGCACAAATATGTGTGATTATTAATTTTCCAGAGTCATGAGGAGTCATGACTGCATTACATCGGTTTTTTAGAACACTTGCAGGTGCAGCAGAAGCAGCATCGTGTAGAAGTCTGAAGGACTCCAGCAACCATCAAAGGTAAGCGCGTCTTCACAGCGAAAGAGCCACAGATCAGAAGCATGTTCAGGTTCAGACTCTAAATGTTGAGTCCCTCTTTATCGCCCGCGGCGTCTCTGGGAGAAATTTTAGCAAAAACAGCCTGAACTCTGGAGTCATCGTGGCTCAGCATCCAGCCCGTCAGCCTGAGTTTGCAGTCGGAGACGTTGTCTGCTTTCTAAATCAAGTTGAAGGTCATAGTTTTCACACGTTGGGGGAGTCAGAGGGACTAACCTGGGCTAACAGGGAGCATTTCACCCGGTGCAGTCCCACATCACTGCATCTAGTGATGATTTTGAAGGGCAGGCTTTGTTGGCACAGTCTCAGAATTTCTTCTTTTTCTCAATCTTTGTTTTAAACTTTAACATTATTTTATTACTTAATTATTTTTCTGTGTAAATTACATCAATGAAAACTTTTTTTGGTTAAATAAATGTAAACTCAAATGAGGGTTGGTTTTTGTTTTCTTTTTAATGTTTTTATCTAAAAGAGGATAAAGTGAAGCTCACTTCTGTCTGACCTGTGAAAACATCCTGAACTTTTCCGTCAGTAAGTGCTGATGTTATGATGTAGCTGCTAGAAAAGCTTCTCTGTCTCGTAGGAAGTGAAGGCCAGTCTCCAGTACTGCAATCTTCTGCAGGAGGCTGTGGTAGTCATCTGTGGAGAGGGAAGACATCTTGTTGCTAGTTAGCCTAGCGGTTAGCACCTTTCCAGGCTATTGAGGCTGTTTGGTGCCCAGACGCTGTAATCAGGCTTCAGCTGTGTCTAGGCCACAGACACACGGAGCGCTGAGGATAAGGTAACTATAAAAATGTTGCTGTTTCTGTTAAGAACGCTTTAGTCCTAATGATCTATAAGTGTCCAGAAGCTCTCGCAGGTAAGCTCATACGGAAAAAAGGGAAAAAATCAGCATGAAAATCAATAAAAGAAGCAAAGCATTTAAAGGGCAAAGAGACGAAGCGTCCACACTCACAAAAGGGGGAGGAGCATTTTAGAGGCCTGACTTCAGTTCAGGAGACGAGGCTTTAGGTGATGATGGTCCTGAGTCAGGTGACCCAGTGTTGATGTTTGGATTCTGTGATTTTGTGCTTTTCTGGTGGTTTAGCTTTTTGTATTTTCTGGCTCTGAGTTCTTCAGTGCTTTGTGATTTCTAGTAGTGATGGTGAGATGAAGCCTCATGATGAACTGAAGCTTCCCATCCAACTGGTCGACTCATGGTTCGAAGCATTGTGATGATTCATTTGCTCTACTGCGCCATCAAGTGGACAATTCAAGTGAAACGGGCTCAATGATTATAATGATGTGATGAGTAAACCGCTAAACTGAATAAATAAAATGTTTTTCATGGTTATTTATCCCGAATATTGTCTCAGTATGTCTGATACAAAAGAGAAAGTGGAAACTATCAGTACACAGTTTTTGGGATGATTGTGTAACTGCGTAATCATGCTTATGTACATCTCAATGATGACACAAACTAGTGTGTGGCACTTCAAGTTGAATGAATAAAGGAATTACTATTGTTCATGACACCAATAACTGAACTCTAAATATTAGTTATATTTAATATTATACTAATTTTATATTATATTAATTTAATTAATGTTTGTGTATAATAAATTGGCAGCTTAACACAGGAATGTACATGGAAACAAAAAGGGAGGGAGTTGTGATGTGAATGTGCTTGTGACTTTATAACAGTGCTCATGACACTAGGGTAAAGTTTTCATTTCTTTTTATTCAAAAATAGCAGCTTTTCCACAGTGCTGGGCTTAAGACGGTTCCTCTTTTTTGAGAGGATTTCTCCTGCTTTTGAAAATATCCTCTCACAGGGCACAGATGAAGCAGGGGTTGCAAGAAAAACCACAGCAAGTTTATACAAGTTTGGATAAAGAAATTTGTGTCCAGTACTCCAGTAGCTATGTAACACGTACGTAATCCAATTCCACAACACGATGTGATGGGGAATCAGCTGCCCATTTTATTTCGAATCTGGCGCGAACCGGTGAACCAGTTCCCGAATCAGTCACGTGGTACGGACTGCCCGCGAGGCCTCGAACGTCACTGCATACGTAATCAACGCAAGCCTCGATACGCGCTTCAGAAAAACGCCCCCGCGATTACCCGACGCGCGATTCGAAGCTTCGACACACAGGACACATCACTAATTTCTAGTTCGTAGGTTTTGTTCCATGTTTAGTGTGTCGTGTCTCTAATGTAGGTTTGGTTCTGTCTTCATGTTTGTTCCGTGTCCCACGCTCAGTCGTGTCTCCATGTCGTAGTTTGTTAGTCTTGTCTCTGTGCTCCCTCTGTTCCTTATGTTCTGTCAATTTCAGTGTCAGCCTCTGGTTTCCTGTTTTATTTTGATAGTTCTGTGTGAGTATATTCAGTTTTAGGTCCTCCTCGTCTCGTTGTGTCAGATTAGTCCCAGCTGTGTTTCCCTTGTGTATTTAAGCGTGTTTGTGTTTTCCTCTGTCTGTTGTCACGTCGTTAACCATCGCGGCTGAGTGTTTCCTTTGTGTTCCCAGTAATTTCCCAATGTTCTGTTCCTGGTTTGTTTTCTAGTTCCCAGTTCAGTTTGTTGTATTCATCGCTCGAGTTTTTCCAGCGATGAAGCTGTTTTGAGTTTCCTCTCTGTGTATGAGTCCTGGGTTTGGGTCCTACATCCTTCCTGCCACACAGCTGAGGGGAGGTGAAGGAGGAGAACGACATGGTGAAACTGTACACGTACAAATGTTAAATGGTCACCGTTTAAAAGAGCTACTTGTGATCTTTAAATCTAAGAGTACATATGATGTGAAGGGCAAGATGGCGGCTTCCACAAACTCTCATCACTTCTATGTATTTTCAATGGACTCAGTCTGTTTTTATCAGCACACATCAATTTGTGGGGAGATGTACGTCCACAGTAATCAGTGTACGAGTACAATATACGTCATTTTTTCTCCTACTGACTCACACAGTCAGTGTGTGACTGACTGTGTGAGTCACACTCCCCCTGGTGTAAAACGTGCAGCTCTAAGGACCACAGTGTGAGATCTGATCCATAAGTCAGAGCAGGAAAGCGATTGTGGTCAGGAAGTGATGAAGTCTTAAATTAGCAGCGAGCTGCTGAGAAGCTGCGTGCAGTCGAAGTCCTCGTCCAACAGTCAGAGTCATCCTCGTCTCCTCGTTATAAGGGACAGATGGCGAATCAGCTGAAAAGAAATCCAGCGTGGAGCGTGAGAGGAAACCCGACGTCCTACGAGTGTCTGAGAACGAGTGTAAGAGCTCCGCTGGCTCCGAAACATCTGAAAGCAGGAAATCATCCCACAGGTTCGCTCAGCAGTTTGATGTGAAAACAAAAGGTCCTGAAGATCTGCAGTCTCGGCGTCTCTCATTAGTCAGAAACAGAAGCGTTCAAGCCTCCGTCAAGGCTTTTTTGTTTCCTCTGTAAAACAAATGAGCAGTTTATGATAAAGAGAAGATGTCAGCACGAAGCTGAAGGTCCCGCTCTGATCATAAATTCAGCTGCTGCACGTTTCACTGCAAAGAGTCTGAACTGTGAGAGATGAAATCTGAATTTGTTTCAGGGAGAAAAACTGAAGACAAGCGTTTCATACCTGCACCTGCAGCACTGTCTAATACATGGAAGCCAATAAATGTTTAATTTTCCACACGTGCCCATGAGCAAGGCTTTGGACGCTGCCAAGCGAGCCACCAAAGCTGCGACAGCAACCCTGAAGGACCGAGTTCTGGACTGGACCGGGCTGGACTCCAAGCTGAAACCTGGAACAACGGGACCAGAACAGACCCCGCCCCCCTCCCAGAGCTGAGACCGAGCAACACTGGGAGAACATCCGGGTCGAGGAGGCGTCCCACAACACCAAGAGACTGAATAAGCACAGACCACAAGAACCCGTCCTCACTGCAGAACCTGAAACATGCAAACGTGACCCTGGTGTCTGGAGACTCGGTGGTTTGTGCTGCATTTATCTGCATTCTGTGATTTACTGGGTTCATGTCCTTTAGCCATTGTTTAGTGTTTTTTGCTCTTCAGGTTTTGTTATTGCGCCTCCTTTGTGTCCCTTGTGTTACGTCTAGTCGTCGTTGCCTCTGTGTTCATGTGTTTCCTGTTTTACTTTGACAGTCTGCGTCCCGTGTCAGTGTATTCGGTTTTGCTTCCTCCCGGTCTCGTCATGTCTTATTGTTCACAGCTGTGTTCCCTCCGTTCCTCCATCTTCCTCCGTGCTGCCTCTGCATTTCCTGGTTTCTCAGTCCTTGCTTCTGGTCTTCGTCCTCAGGTTATGTGTTATGCTTAGTTTTCCCCAGTCTGGGCTTTTGTTAGTTCTCTCACTTCCTCCTGTTTGCAGTGTTTTGCCAGAAATAAAGGCTCACTTTTCGTTATCATCCACCCTCGTCTCTGTGGCTGCATTTGGGTCCACATTCTCCTCACGCCATGGCGTCTGCGTCAGCAGACGGAAACAGAACAACACGGGACAGAACGCGAAGGATGTTCAAACCTTCAAACTGCTCTCCTCTCACACATCATCTCATCCATGAAGCTCATCTGGAAGCTGAGGGGCGGGCACTTCCTGAGAGACTTCCTTTTTTTCTTTATTAAGTGTAGTCATATTATACAGTAATACTCAGATTACCACATATTACCGTTCTGTCCAGATACGGTCTGTGTGTGAATATGAATGACATATGATGAGGATATAAA